ACGACTACACTATACACTACACACTACACTACTATACACTACACTATACACTACTATACACTACACTATACACTACACTATACACTACACTACTATACACTACACTATACACTATACACAGACTCTAGGTCTACATTACTATACACTATACTACTATACAAGACTACACTATACACAGACTCTAGGTCTACATTACTATACACTACACTACTATACACGACTACACTATACACTATACAAAGATTCTAGGTCTACATTACTATACACTACTATACACTACTACACTATACACTATACACAGACTCTAGGTCTACATTACTATACACTACACTACTATGCACTACACTATACACTACTACACTATACACAGACTCTAGGTCTACATTACTATACACTATATATTACTCTACACTACTACACTATACACAGACTCTAGGTCTAAATTACTATATAATAAAAACTACACTACTATACACTACTACACTATACAGACTCTAGGTCTACATTACTATACACTACACTACTATACACTACTATACACTACACTATACACAACTACACTATACACAGACTCTAGCTCTTCCTGGGGGAATTCCAAAGCGTTCCCATGTCAGCTGAGCGACGTCGTCCCTCCAGCGTGTCCTGGGCCGGGCCGGCGAAAAGTTTATAGTTGTATAATATCTAAACTCTTCCGTGGACCCCTTTGGCTGATCAACGTGGACCCTCCTGGAAAAGCGATCTCAGCAAGCTTCAAGTGTTGCGCACCCACGGCCCTACAGAAGTCGTCGTTGTGTGCGCGCGCAGGCGGTGAAACTGCGCGTGGCCTCTCCGGACCGTCCCGTGCGTCTGGGCACCAACCCGTCATCCGCGCGTTTTAGCTCCTTCCTCTCGCTGCCTTCGGAACAATCATCACCGAGGCGGTCGCTAAATTATCGCCGAGGTGATCGGGCGGTGGTGGCTGTGCGCGCCGCCTGTAATCCAGCACTGTGGACGCGGGGGTTGGTGGATCACCGCACCGATGTTGCGACACTCTTCCCGCGGGCGTCGAGGGGGAGGCCATACCCTGGAACACCAGTACATCGCAGATGTGGACTTCACCTGTTCCGTCTGGTTGGGATAGCCTGTTGCCCCTTCGCATGCAAGGGATGTCTCCGAGTACTCTGCTTCCCTCTCGCATCTAAACACTCTTCAATTGGCCAATAACACCTCCACGTATAGAGGACTTGCAGAGCTTGGGCAATCGTTCAGCGCCCGCTCATCGCGCGACTGCCTTGCAACTCGTCTGTGGTTCGTCTTCGCGCCTCCGATTCGTTCTCTCTCTCTCTCTGTGGGTCGTTCTCTCTCTCTATGAGAGTGAGCAAATACTGTGTGGCGGCGCGCTACAAGTTGGTAATTAGTATACATCATAAATGAATCCACCAAGGGGGCGATTGCGTTAAACGCGCGAGGTGCAGCGATGTGCGCGGCATTTAAAAAAAATGCATCGGCTCCGTCCGTGGCGGCGGCCACCAAACGCGGCGGCGTGAACCTCTGACGGTGAGCGGCGTGCCGGAGTGGAGATTCGCGCACGCAGTGCGGCGCCGTCGCTGTCCGCGTGTTTGTTGTTGCATGACCCCCCCCCCCCCCAGGGAAACTCACAGACTGCGTAGCCAATCTCGGGAAGTAACGCGGGGCTCCCTATCCCCCCCCCAGCACCCACAACAGAATCAGAATCTTTATTTATCCTGGACAAAATCCGATGAGCTATGAAGCTCTTCTTCATCGATGTGCAGTTGGGGCGGGTCACACCCGTTGCGGTACCACACGCGCACCACCGCGCCTGCACAGCCTCTCCCCTGCACCACCACCTACAACCTGCATACCCCATAGCAGCGCACACCCTCTGCGCCTGCACCCCTTCACGTGGCTACACATTTAACCCCTTCTTTCGCACCGTACGTAGCCAACCGTGCAAATCGTAGGGGGGTCATTGTCTAGCAGTGCCCCGCGTCCACGCGCCCGTTGTGGATGAGCCCAATGCAAAGATTCGTTGGAGGTGGAAAGCTGCGGGAAGAGATGGCGTGGAGCACACTGTGGAGGATGCGGGATTCTGCATGCGCGGCTCCGACCGCTCTCCAAAGGGACTCCGCCCGCGCTGCTCATGAGCGGGGGAGCCGCTGCGCGCCTGCACGTGGGGCTAGGACGGAGGTCGCCAACCCAAGGCTCTGCAAGGACTGCTTCGTGACGTTGTTTATGAAGGACCCACCGTCTCGTAGTCGCCGCGGTGCATTGCGGCTCGTGCAATATTTCGGGGTTTTTTTACCGAATTCAAAAAAGCCAAGCTCTATTTTATTCTTTTGGTTGCCGACCCCTGGTATAGGTCATAGCGGGGACGTACTGCCTCCATCACCCCCCTCGCCCTCCCACCCCCCTTGCGCGTCCCTCCTCTTTGTGAGTGGCGCGGGAGCGAGGCGCGTGAGCTGAGGAGTGCGATCAGGGTTGGTTTTACGCGCGGCGGTCCCTGGCGGCGGAGGCGGCCACGATCGTTCATCGTCTCCGCCGTTGCAGCTGCGCCACCGCGAGAGACGCGAGTACCCCTACGCGGCGCTGCCCGTGAAATAACAGAGCCCCGAAATGCCCCTCCTCTCCCTCCTCCATCCTCCGCATCCCCGCCGCCTCTTACGGACACGCGGAGCCACGCAGGCACAGCGCATTACGTGGAGGAGGGAGCGTCCTTTTGTTCCGACTCGGCCCCATGAGGCTCTCTTCAATTTCAGCTTCCTTTTGTGATGGGTGGGGAGGATCGGGGAGGCGTCGTCCAAACGCTGTGACGATTGCGGGCAATGGAAAATAATTCCAAACATTTGCTCAGGGAATATTCGCCCACTCTTAAGATTATTTTCCAGGAGGGTCCTGCATCATTCACACGTTTGACCAATTCCATAAATGAGTGGTTGGCTTTAACCGAGAGAAATGCAGGGAGTATCCGGAGAAAACACTTTGCGTATGAGGAGGGTGGCACTTAGCGCTGCCATTTCCTGACCACGCCTCGCAGCTCCACGGCTACAACACCCGGCAAGCCCTGGGACTTCACCCACCAAGCGCCAACCCAGGATCGACGCTGCTTAGCGTCCGAGATTCGACGAAGAATTGGACTTCATTCAGGGAGATTTGGGTTGCGCGGAGAGTAACACCCCCGTGTCACGAGAACCTCAGCTCTGGCTGGACTTTCCCGGCGCGAGGGAGGGCGGGGGGGGGGGGGGGGCATCCGCAAATCTGCAATTGCTCACCCTGACGTGTAATTTTACAGGCGAGGAGCATCGGGCGGCGCGGACTGACGGCGCGACGCGCTCCGCGGGATGATGGAGAGGCCGAGCGGCACGCGTTATTGCGCGGAGGGCCCCCAGACAGCGGCTCCCCCCTCACCCCTCCCATCACTCCCCCCACCTGCCCCCCGGTACCCACCCGGGTGATGATGGATGGAGTTCGCGCACCTTCTCTCCCCCCCCCCGCCACCCCCACGGACAGGTCTGGATTTCAGCGCCGTGGCGATAAATAGAGTGCTGTATTCTGAGCCAGATTCTTATCTCGAGAAAGCGGCCGATCGCCATCGTCTCGCGAGTTGCTCCGCTGTCGGTAATGGAGACATCGGCGCGTTTTCGAGAATAAAAATACGACGGAAATGAACGTTCGTCAAGATCATCATCTGGTTCTGGGTGCGTGCGTGCGTGCGTGTGCTGTGTCTGTAGGGTGCGGTAGCGTAGCGGTTAGCGCGTTGTGCTACGAACCTGGTTCCAGAGTTCGATTCCCGCTCACGGCCAACACCATTGACGATTATCTGAACTGGTTCTGGGCCTACCCAAGATCGACTGATCCTCAAATGAGTACCTGATGCGGTGTGTAAGCATCGCCACTGGGGAGACAAAGGCGGTTGGGCGTGGTGCTGGCCATCTACCCCCTCATGTGCCGTTCTGGCCTTCAAAGCTGCTCGCTAAGAGCACTTGCCCAAACAGTCTGTTAAAGCTATACGGGGGATCTTTGTCTTTGTTTTTTTGCGTCTGTGTGCATTTGTTATGAAAGGTCAAAGGGCGCGAGTTCACGTGTCGCCGAAACGACCGAGGCGGCCGCAATGCGTGGAGTGGCTTTGGTGATCTCCCACATCGTCCAGTTTTCGCCAAAAATTGGACGAAAATGAAACTTTCCCCAACACCACGTGAATCGGGCCCAAGCTGTCTGCCCTGCTTTTATGAGCGCCAAGATGCGAATTTTTGTAAACCTTGCGAGTCGTGAGCACGTGGTGAACTTTCCACATTGCTATGGCGGAGACTAGTATAGCCATAGGACAACCGGTGGCGATTACCACGAAGCAATTGTTATATTATCGACACCCGAGGGATGATGATGATGATGGAGGCGAAAGAGTTTTTGATTTCAGCTATTTCTGATTGGGATGCCTCCGGTAAAATCGCCCGGATAGGCCTCTATGGCGTTAAATCTCGAAGGCTAAGCAGGAGTTATGCCTGGATGGTGCTTGGATGGGTGACCACCACCATGTATAATATAGGTGGGGAGAGGTGGTGCAGTGGTTAGCGCGCTGCGCTACGAACCCGACGACCCGAGTTGGACTCCCGCTCACGGCCAACACCAGCGACGATTATCTGAACCGTTTCTGGGCCTTCCCTTGGTCGACTCACGCTCAAATGAGTACCTCGTGTGGTGTGTAAACATCGCCACTAGGGAGATAAAAGCGGCCAGGCGTGGTGCTGGCCAAACTCTCTCTCGTGTGCTGTTCTGGCCTTCATAAGTGCTCGCAAACAGCACTTGCCCCACCAGTATGTTAAGGCTATACGGGGCATATTTGTCTTTGTTCACGTGTGGCCAGTCAAAGGTATTATAACAAACTCAGCACATTCGTTAATAACACTGTGTGGTCTTAAATATATATATGAAAACGGGGGGTGGTGGGATCTTTGTCTTTTGTATAACACGTGTGTTGTAACGCCTTCACCAACCCGTATTGACCAGCATGGTCAAGTCAGATTTATTTTTTTTAAACGGCGCTGTGTGTATGATTCGCAGCCACCAGGAACCTCCCGTGAACACAATGAGGATCCACCGTTGCACTGTTTAGAGACTGCCCTTCCCGGGTTATAGGTCACCATAGGTCACTGACTCCACAAACAGCGCCTTAAAATGAAACCTGCCGCTCACGAATAGCATGCGACGCATTCAAGTAAAAACTAACAGTGCGCGTCAAAAAATCTCCGGTATCACGAGTGCGTCGCGGAAGAAGGGCCCTCATCCAGCAACGAGCGACGGCTTGTTTATTGGGGGTGCCGCTCGCTGCCGAGCCGCCTTCAAAACAAAGTCACCTGAGACGGTCACGGCATCTCATTACGCGTCGCGATGGGGAATAATCGATCGGGTTCGCGGGGGGGGGCGTGGGGAGTTCGGGGGTAGCGCGCATGGATGCACTTCACGCGAATATAATCTCCGCCGCACTGGGAGGGCGGGGGCCTCGTGGAGTTTACAAAATCCCTGGGTTTGTTTTCACACAACAACACAAAACCCATCGTGCCTCTCTCGCTCTTTATCTCCTCCGCATATCGACCGGTGTGTGTACAGTACATATATATTAATATATAAGCTACAACTCCGTTGCTTGCGTCGCCACACACACATGATAAACACAAATGTGTTTTTAATCCACCAGCTCTCTCGGCTTTCCAGACCAACATGTTTTTTTTTCAATCATGTTTTGGATAAAACTCTGGACCGGTTTTGACCCCGTGGGGGTAGGTCGCTGTCGACAGTCGAGGCGTTTTCAGCAAATGATGCTTCATTATCAAGAATGTTATTGCGAGAGCACTCCATTTAATCCGTGGGGCCCCCGTACGACGCAAGGGAGCACTGCCGACCGCCAAGCGATGCGCCCCACCCGGCCATGCGATGCCTTTGTCACCGGTCCGTGGTCGTGATGTATTTATTAATCTGTTATTGGTCTTGTCGCGTTTGTAGTGTTTCTGTCCGGTTTGGTTTGCGTTCTTCAATTAGTCTTCATTCCTCTCTTTGGCCCAATAATGACGTCCACTTGCAACGCGCCTCCACCGCCCGCTGCTCACTCGCGCCGCTGACGAGAGGACGACTCAGAGACGCGCGGAGGAACCACGGACGAGTGGAAGGCGGCAGCAGCAGCAGTCACGCAATGAGCTCTGCGGTCGTCTCTTTTTTTTAAGGTGTTCATCGGCCGGTGTTTGCATGTGGGAGGAAACCGGAGCAGCTGGAGGAATCCCCACGCGTGCGAGGGGGAAACACGCTATCCCATCATACACCATGGCGCAGGTGGAGTCCACATTGGCTCCTCTTCAACGCCCACGGGAAGGGAGTTTCACAGCATCTGTGTGCGAGCCACCAACCCTCGCTGTTGCCTCCACAGTACTGGGTCACAGGCAGCCACGTGCAGCAGAGCCACAACTGCCCAGCTACAATATGCATGAGCGTCTAATTTGCGACGTTTGTGTGCATAAATATATATTGTAATCTATTAATCAATTAATGAATATGTTCCTAACATACGTCGCGTACAAATAATGCAACGACGTTTACACAGTTGTTATTCACGTGGTCTTACAATATGTGCACATTTGGAATCTATAAGACTGACGTTTCGGGAAATTGCCTTTCTTTCGACGAGAGAGAAAGAGGCCGGAGAATTTGAGTGACTCGTAGCCCGGGATAGCGTTCTGCACACGGTGCGAACCCGATGAGAGAACTGGGGCGTTTAATATTGGTGGCAGATACATGGCTTTGAATTGACATATCAACCGGATTGCATTGGCACACACTGAATACCAAGCAATGCCCCTACGGTGCCGCGCGAGACACGGGCACAATGAAAATGAGTGTCATTCGTTTATGGAGGAAAGCCGCACCGAGTAATTTAATTTATCTTAACAGCAGGCTCCCCTGCAACATTGGGATGTACAGTTAAATCATCTCTCTCTTTACTCTGAAGAAGGGCTGTCTCCCGAAACATCGACTGTTCGGCTACTTTACGGGAGTGTTAATGAATCACGCGGTGTTTTTTTGTTGTTCTTTAAATGCACATCACTGCCACGGCAGTCCCGTCACCGGGCATGCCGTCTTCATCGACTGTTCGACTCCATGTGGGACGGAGCCGGAGCATCCCGGAGAAAACCCACCAGGCACACACGAGGGGATGAGACTCAAAGGTCCGCACAGACGGGGCTACACGAACCCACTTGCCGCGCTGCCATCTCCTGCCCACATTCCGCTCTGGATCACCACGCTCCGGCTGCTCCGCTCGCTTCGCGTCTCTGATCAGAGAATAACATTCCCGACTCCTGGCCCCCCAGATCTCCCTTCCGGATGGTTACACGGTCCCCCCCTCCTGTGGTGAACCGCATTGTCGAGGCGGAGAAGCGTCAGTGCCTTGTAGGCCTGAGCAGCTCTACTGCATCTCCGATGAGCACGGTTGGCTACGTGCGGTGCGGAAGAAGTTCACCGTCGAGCACGTGGAGAACTGGATCGGGGCACCCCGTGAACTACGACCTTCCAGCCAGTCGCCAGCAGCTCTGGCTCCACCAGCCATGGCGTCGGCTGGGGGAGGACATCGATCACGGGACGCCTCCTCGATTATTTTCACCGCGTCGCCTCGTATCGTACAACACGCACGGACTTCTGCTGCAGGATCGCGAGAAGCGGCGGCAGTAGCGGCGGCGGCAGCGGTGGCTTGGGTAGGGCCTTCATCCAGCAGCGGGTTGGCCACCAATGCCGACGATGCCCTGCCTCGGCGTGGGTGCTGGGGGCCGCAGGGATGTGGGGAGGGGAGGGGGGGTGGAGACGCAGGGGAGGAGGGAGTCTCGGGCGAGGAGAGTGGAGATGTAAGCGTGACGCGTTCTGACAGCGTCGCTGCTCCGCAGGAGCTCGGCCGTCTTGGCGAGTTACTCCTCGGCGGTGGGAGCGGTGACCTGGCACGGGGAACGTGGGGGGGGGGGGGGGACGCTTCAGAAAGGGCACAGGGGAATGCGATATGAGTGGGTGATTGGCCAGAGGTGAGAGGAGACGTGCGCAAAGACACGGGTGAATGTGAGCAGGTGAACCTGGATACAAGTGAATTGACCGCAGGTGAAGTGGACAGAGTTGCACATATGAATGTCGGCGGGTCATTGCGCGCAGGTGCGTGGACACAGGTGAATTAACATATTGGGATACGATTTATTGCGATGCCTTTTTTTTACATAATCGGCTGAGTCAAGCGTGCAAGACCGAGTGTCTCAACAATTCAATAGCCGCGCGAGAGGCATTGCACGAGTGGCCCACGAGTGGCCCACGAGTGGGGGACAGCCTGCAATGCCGCGGCCTGCATCTATACTCACGACAGCGAGGGGGTCACGGAGGATCCACTTGCCAGTCACTTTGCGGAACATCTGACCGCCACTCCACATGCGGAGCGATTGAGCGTTGCCCACAAGTGGCGGAAGGTCTCAAAGGCAGCCAGATGGGCTGCTGAGTCCGTCGCGTGACGTCGGCGTTGGCCGTGTTTGAAGGTTGTCCCCGCCACCTGTGACGCCATCTGGAGGTGCCACTGGGGTCATTAGACTCAAGAGAGCTCGCCAAGCCGGGGACCGGGAGGGGTGGGGGGTGGGGTTGGTGGTGACGGGTGAAGACGGTGGCTCGGTGGAATAACACCATCTTGAAGCACGGGTACACGTGGCATACGCTCCCTTGGTGCAATAGTTGGCACACAGGATTTACAATGAAAAAGCCACCGGATCGATCTTACGCAGCGTGTAGCGTACTCGCGCGCTTGTCAAGACTTCTGCACAGCGTGGGAAAAGTAGGCCAAATGACCTCTGTCGGGGCTCGCTAGAGCTCCCTCGAGAGGAGGCCCTTCCGCCAGCAGTGGCTTGAGCAAGCACTTGCAGGGCTGCGCCTTTTACATTGCGTTGTGCACGTGGCATGCCTTGCAGCTTGAGGAGCAGACTCTGCAAACTCAAACCGTGTCTACGCAGCTGCAATATCGAGGAACATTGCGTCTGTCTTCTGCCTGGTCTGGAAGCCAATGATTGATGGAGGTTCTGGGTTCCAGAAGTTCATCAACAGGTACTGAGGTTTGGTCTGAAACGTGAAACGTGCATATTAAACACATGAGACTTGGCATTAGATGAGTGAACAGAGTTGGATGGGCACATATGAATATGTACAGGTGAGTGTTACAGTTGAATGTCAGAATCAGAATATGTATTTAAACTGCACGAATCCGATGAGCTATCACGCTATTTTTTCACAGGTGTCCAGTCGAATGTGGTTGGTCAGTAGCAGAAGCGATCGAGTGGGTGGGTGACCAATAAACACCCCCGGTCGCCTTTCTCTCACCGGTACTGACGTTTGCACACCGAAGAAGGTACTAATTTAAGGCTGAGTCAACCTAGGGGAAGCCCAGGACCGGTTCAAATATTTACCACTGCAATCGGTCATGGGCAGGAATCGAACTCGGGTTGCCGGAATCGTAAAGAAGTGCAGCGCTAACCACTACTACCCTGCAGCTCCCCTACGAGGAAGGCGTGATGTGACAAAACAGACAAAGATCCCCCGTGTAGCTTTAACAGACTGTCTGGGCAAGTGCTATTCGCGAGCACCTATGAAGGCCGGGACGGCACACGAAAGGGTGGGTGGCCAGCACCAAGCCCGGCCGCCTTTGTTTCCCCAGTGGCGATGTTGACACACCACACCAGGTACTCATTTGCACACACACACACCGTCACGGACTCGCACTCACACATTGCATCCTTGTCGGCGAGATCGACCCAGGGCGTGTTTAATAACAACGGCAGCAACAGCAGCAGGGACAAAACCTTCACACAAGCACACACACACTCTCGCGGGCACACACATTAGATTGCTTGAATCAAATGTCGCTTTAAAGTTCACGAATCAGTCACGGAGCGAATCCATTAGTGTGCTGCGAGAGTGGATTGGGGGTGATGTGCCGAGTGTGGCGAGCCGTGTTCGCCACACGGAGGCCGGAGATTCCGAATCCCGCCGTAAATGCGAGCGCAGGAAACCTCCCTCCTCGCTGCATATTCCCCGGCTCCGCCAGATGAAGTTTGTGTGACCTTTTCCCGAGAGGTCACCAAAAGCGGGAGCAATGTCTTTGACACCCGGAGATGGACAAACCCCGGGGGGATGTGGGGGTCATGAGCAGGACGTGGGGTCACGCCACAGGGGGATGGGGGAGATGATGGTTGGGGGTCGGAGCGAGACAAACAATCGACAGATAGATGGATAATTTGTATTTGATTTATTTAAAAAAATATATATAAACCTGGGCAATCCCTTGAGATGGAATATCTCGTTTGCAGGGGTATCCAGGATGTCAAGTGACACGTGCAGTGCACACACGTGTTGTTTATCCAGCAAAGCCTTACTGAGTCTCAAACCTATTTTTCAGGAGGATCTTGAATTGCAATGTTGAGCTGCTCCATCATGGAGCGAATGGTATTCATGCGCCAGTGTGCACGGTCGTGTTGGTGTGGCTCTCCGCTGCGTGTTCTGGTTGTGCTGCATGTTGGTCGAGACGGTGTCCGACGTTTCGCTCCACGTGCTGGGAGCTTCCTCGGGAACTGAATTCACATCATGCCCAACAACTCGCGATACAGCTTGACGATTGTTTGGCTTCACGTGGGAGGAAACCAGACCATCCCAGAATCACAATATTGATTTACCCCAGAGAAATCCGATGAACTATGAAGCTCTTTTTCACAGACGTCCAGTAGGGGCGGGTCAAAAAAGTTACAACAACAATACACAAAAAACGATAGGAGTGGCAGCAATGCCACTCCTATCCCCACAGACTGGTTCACGATACACCACTCACTGCACTGCACTGCCATTGGCTGGTCACCGCCGCCGCCCCAGCTGTTTCGTGACTCTCACTCAAATCTCTGCGTGATCCACCAGCCTTCGTCTTCGAAGAGCTAGACAACAGGCGCGCGCCACCACGTCCGGCTTTGATAATGGAGGGGATCAGTTGGGGGTGGGGGGATGGTTGGGGTTGGGGTGTAACCCTGGGAGTCTCCGCTCCCCTGCACATAGTCAGCAGCAGTCGCGTTTGGTGTGTGGGCCTGCCACCTTCCGTCATGGGAAGTCACGCTTCTTCTAGCCGCATCCACACCGGCACAAAGTAGGGGGTGCGATGGGGCTGGGAGGGGAGGGGATAGGGGTGCGGGGTGGGTGGCTGTGTGGATAATTCGCAGCTACCAGAACCACCAGAATCCCCTCCTCCCCGTGATCACAATGGGGTTCACAGTTGCACTGTTTCGCGATTGCCCGCGTCGAGTGGAAGGTCACGGACTCTAAAAAACACTGCTTTCAAATTAAATATGCCCCTATTATGTCCTTGCGTATGATAATAGCCATGTGTTCAGGAGCTAAATGTCAATGTCGAGGTCTGCTAGCCACGAGAGGGCTTCAGAAGAGAGAGTTTGTTTTGCTTTGCAATTCCTCCTCCATTTAAGGTTGTATACATGGTCCATAGTTTGGGTTGCATGACCACAATCGAACTCTTGTGGCTCGCCCTAAAGTTTTCATCCATGAGGTAGATGGTGCACATCGGCCTGTTGATGTTCTGACGCGGTTGATGGTTCTGAGATCGTCGAGAAGGAACGTCCAAGCCGGGAGGTGCGGTGGTTTGTTCCAGACGTTCACGTTGCTCCGCTACTCGGCATCGTTCTTCCGCTTCTGTTGATTGCATCGGATGCCTTAAAATTAAATGCACGCGTAAAATGTATGCACCTATCGGCAACCACCCTCTTTCCTGCAGTGCACGAAGTGCTGTACGTGTACATTTAATTGTATCCGTGAAAACCTGTCTCAAGACGCATGTTTTTTTTTTTATTCAGGAGTTTCCTGCATTTGTATGTTTGGCAAATCCCATGATAGGATATTCTGAGACAACATGAGTGGCAATTGGGAGGAAACGGTAATATCCCGTGAGCACTCACTACTCCGGAAGCATATATTCAATAATCATTTGCTGTGCTCTTATTACCCGGTCTCCTGGCAGCTTAGGTTGTAACAAGATCGGGCGCATTCATGATAATTTGGGCGTAAATTAATTCACCGTGATGGAGAGACACAAAACTCCCTGACTACCACTGCCTCTTCACGTAAAACGTGCGGCTGGCTAACGTTTCTGGAAATGACCCTTCCGCATGGCGAGATCTTCTCGGCCGTGCTAATGATATCACCAAAGAGCATTGTCCCCCCGCCACAAGAAGGGATAATTTCCATCACTATCAAAGGAGACTGAGCGGTGAGATCGGTTCGCGTTGCAGGAGTGAGGTCGATGTTAGTTTAGCAGTGCTGGACCGTGAGAGATGGCGACGGCGTGGGGAGAGAGGCCTTCATCCAGCAGTCGATATGGCCAATGGCTCACGACGTAGACGACTCAGAATCGCCAACTGAGAGGGGCTTCCCCCAGGGGTTGTTTTTCTTCTGAGAAACAGCGACTTAATGAGAACAAACGACCGCACGAAATTAACGCTCTCGGCGTGGCTCACGGACATCTATGTAAACGAGATGTGACATGAGACCCAAACCGCACAAATCGGCTTCAAATGAACGCGCGCACCCAGACCGCTCGCTCTGGGGGGTGGGGGCACGGCAAGCACCCCCCCCCTTTCCCCCCCCCACCCGCCAATTCTCCACCCTCCCGCCTTCCCAACCCATCCTCCCCACCCTCCCCACCCGCTCTCTTTGCCTCTGAAAGGGATGAACAGGCGTGCTTCTTTTTTGGCGGAGCCACTCATTAACCGCCGCGGGGTCGTGTCGCCCGTGACCCGTGGAGGTCAACCCACCAGCCAGGCGGGGCACAGGCTCTCAGAAGTCACGGGACACAAAGAGACAATTATAATAAGGTCAGAAATTATGAATAAACGCACGCGGGTCCGTGTCGCAACGTAGAGAATCAAATCGCAGTGCTGTCCACCGAACTTATAGGCCCTCCGCAGCTATATTTCAGAGTAGCAGTGGTAGACTTGGCAAACATGTAATTTACCTCCGCAGAGTGAAATTACATTTGCCCATAAATGCAGCCCTTCAGCGAAACGGACTGAAGTAATATTCTAGTTGTCCTTTACATGGAGTCAGACCCTTGACATATTATGATTGCACGAGCCACAATCATCCACGACAGCGCGTTACGAGTGTGCGTATCAGCACTCGCGACGACAACGACAAAAGCGACAACAAGAACCCAGACAAACACAATGCTCCACTGCATCACCAAAACAATACACGCGTTCTGTCCATCCATTCAAAGTCGCGAACTCCAGAGCGCGCCGCTTTCAACGTTTTACGAGACATTGCAGCAGTCGCAGCCTTACCACCCCCCCCTCCCTCATCGCCCACTATCCCCCCCCCCCCGCATGCCACCACCACGAAAACCCATACCAGCCATTCGCCACTAAGTGACGGTGATGTCACCACGTCACCTGTGCCAGGCCAGGTGCACTTTGAGGCCACGTGAAGTGTCGAAGGCTCGCTGACAGGAGGAGGTCTCGGGACAGACCCAGTAGGTGCCATGGGTTGGCTGACCGAGATGACCGGTAGATGCACCACCAGCTGTACCCCCACTGTGCCACCACCACCAGCACCACCCCTACTTATACCCCCTCGTACCCCGAGTCTGGAGGACCTCCTGTCCCCAGTGGCGGTGCGAGATTGGAAACATCGCACGCGTCGGTTTACACTCAGACTCGGCGGCGAGCAGCCGCGAATTAATGCAATTCCCACCCTCTCTCTTTCTTTCCCTGGGCGCATGTAACCTTTCGCTTAATTCTATTCGCTGTAGCCGGCAATGGAAAGAAGTTTGCAGGGGCCGCCACTCGACGCTATTTATAGACGGTTGATTATATCCCCCCCCCCCGCAACCACTACCCCCGCGAATCGACCGTTGCCCACAACTCACATGAGCGCGTGGGGGGCAGGAGCCCCCCGCCGTCCCCCCGTTATTAGCAGCGAGTCGCGCGCCTCGTCACGGTAGCTGTATTACATTAGAGCGATGCATTTATGCGATGTGGCGCCGAACCACTGTGGTGTGGAGCATGGGGATGGGGTTGATGGTGATCCAACGGGGGGAGGGGGGGCTGGGAGGGAGCCCCCCTCCCCATCCCCTCCCACTCCACCCGCCACCTCCCCCACCACGACACCACCTAACCCCCAAGACGCAATTACACGCTTTTCCCGTGGGTAATCACCGCTGGGGTTTAGCGCTGTCGTACACTGTCCGCCGACAATTTTCATTCCTGTTCCAGTTTCTGGCGCGACATCTCGGCAGGTGGGGCTGGGCACCACGCAGAATTGATGGGGTGGCGGCGGTGGTTGTGGTAATGATAATGATGGTCATTGTGGTGATGAATGTTTATGGTGTTGGTGGCGGAGATGTCGACGATGATTATAATCAGTGATAGTGGGAGGCTAGCAACCATCACAAATCCGACTGTGTTGCAGCTGTTTCTAATATGAACAACGTTAAATGTTATCTTCATTAAGCAATTCACGTTAAAAGAATCATATTTTTTAAAAAAAAATTAAAGACAACATAATAATTTAAAGAAAAGTATCTTTTTTATTCGAAAAATAATTTCTCATCTCCAGCTGCTTGGCGGGGCGGCACCCCAACACCCCTCGCGGACGAACCGCACCTGTTGCTAGCAGTGATGATAGCGGTGGTGGTGGTGGAGGTGATGGTAATGGTTATTATGGACATGGCGGTGGTTTGACAGGTCTGTGATGATAGATGATTATCGTAGCGATGGTTATGTTGGACATGGCGGTGCTTGACGTACGTGGCGGTGTAAATGATGGTGGTGAATATTGATGTAGTGGTGGTGGCCACAGGCGAAATCCCTGAGGATAGGGAGTGGTAGCCAATGTGTTGAATGGAATGAGTAAAACGGGCGTCTAACGTGACCAAAGTAGTGAATAAACACGCTGTGTGGTGGACTATACACACTATACACTACACCAGCGGTGGCCAATACGTGGGTCGCTAAATATTTTGGTTTTACTAGGTAAAGTCCACTGAGCTCTATAGCTCTTTTTTTCAGGAGCGACCTCGCCACAAATGATAGTTCAAAGAAGTATTATGTGGACATTTATAGCAGCCAAATACTCTAAATACACGATTCTAAATGTGGAGGGGGAAACCGAAAAACCCAGAGAAAAATCCATGTGACCACAGATGAGAGAAACACGCAAACTCCAAATATACAGGCGTCAGGGTCGGAATCGAGCCCATGACCTCCTTGTATACGAGGCGAGGTAGTTAACAAATCAGAACAAACACCAGCATCATAAACAATGCAGCAACAATCATCGTCACGGCTGGTGGCGAATAAAAAAAATCCCAGACTAAAAAAAAGTTCAGTCCATTAAAATCACGGTGACATCTACCAAGAGATGGCGCTAGTACTTTACGTCGCTGTCGTATTGATTGACAGGGTTGAATTCATCCGGGTAATTGCTGATCACAAGCCGTGTTTGGTGGATCGCAGGAGAGCCCCGAGACGTCCATGAGATGGATCAAAATGCTCATTGGCCATCGCTGTGGCCGCGCTCTGAACAGCGTGGTCGCTAAATGGACAGAGTTCGCTGTAGCCGAGGGCTTGAAACGATTTAGGGGCGACAACCGAGCGTGGGAAGGATTGCGGGCTCAAAAAAACGGTGGCGGTCTCTTTTTTTTTCAACAAGACACTCGTTTGACAATTAACATCTCGTTACACATTAACGAGTGCTCATGACTAATTTAACGCTGCCGTTGACCTTTTAAAACTGTAATCTGAACTCGCTGATGTAGAGTATCGCGGTGGTGATGGTGGTGGGTATTGTCTTGATAGTGGTAGCGGTTGTGATGGCACAAGTAGGGCGAACGGGTGGTGCATCTGCCAGTCTTCTTAGTCAACCCATGGATAACGCCTAGGGCTATTCCGTCACCTCCTGTCAGCGAACCTTCGCCACTTCACGTGGCCTCAAAGTGCGAATGGCGGCTGTTATTGGTGGTAATGTTGACGGCGGAGGGAGTAATGGTCGTAGTTGGTATCATTTGCGTTCCTGGTGATAATCAGGTTGGCTTGAGATCAGGAATACATTTTCCATCTTGCAGGGTTGTCCCTTATCCTCCCATCAACTTTTGAGATGTAAACTGCCGTCTGACGTTTTATTTCACACTTAGTTCACGTGGATGGAGCATCACGCTCACCACATCGTGGCGATGTCGTGGAGAAGGTACAATTAACAAAGGCAGCCGTCCCGGATTACTTTCAGTGTTTCTCCTGATACGTTTTAAAGAATATTGGAGACATTTCGTAAATTGGCTGGTTGCAGTATTTGGCGTTTACACTGAATCTTAAAAAAAAACATATCTTAGCATCCTAAGATATTTTGGGCAACTTTGAATGGACTCATGGCTCTTAAATACACTATTTGTAAATGTATACGTGTATTCTGTATCCTCATGACCCAGCCAACGCAGCCTTGCTTGCCGGGGGAGCTTACTGATGGGAATGTCCAGATCTTTCAAGGATTTGTGAGCTCCTCACACAATTCAGCCTGCTGGTTAAACCCAGGATGGATCGTAGGCAGGCCAGCCTGAATGTTTCTAACCAGAGCGGATGTTCCATTAGTGGGGTCCACGTTTCATATAATCACCACCATCACCACCACCATCCTCACCATCATCATCATCACCACCATCAGCATCATCACCATCACTAATTTCACCACCAACATCATTACCATCATCATCACCACCTTTACCACCATCATCATCACTACCACCACCATCATCATCGCCATCATCAACCACCATCCTCACCAACACCACCACCATCATCGCCATCATAAACCACCATCCTCACCATCACCACCACCATCATCGCCATCATAACCACCATCCTCACCATCACCACCACCATCATCGCCATCATAACCACCATCCTCACCATCACCACCACCATCCTCACCATCACCACCACCATCCTCACTATCACCACCACCATCCTCACCATCACCACCACCACCATCCTCACCATCACCACCACCACCATCCTCATCATCATAACCACCATCCTCACCATCACCACCACCATCCTCACCATCACCACCACCATCCTCACCATCACCACCACCATCCTCACCATCACCACCACCACCATCCTCACCATCACCACCACCATCCTCACCATCACCACCACCACCATCCTCACCATCACCACCACCATCCTCACCATCACCACCACCACCATCCTCACCATCATAACCACCATCCTCACCACCATCCTCACCACCACCATCCTCACCATCCTCACCACCACCACCACCATCCTCACCATCATAACCACCATCCTCACCACCACCACCATCCTCAGCATCATAACCACCATCCTCACCACCACCACCACCATCCTCCCCATCACCACCATCCTCACCATCATAACCACCATCCTCACCACCACCACCACCATCCTCACCATCACCACCACCATCCTCACCACCACCACCACCATCCTCACCATCACCACCACCACCATCCTCACCACCACTATCCTCACCACCACCATCCTCACCATCACCACCACCACCATCCTCACCATCCTCACCATCACCACCACCATCATCATATTTTCCACGCGTGTCAACTTACCCCGGGTCCCTTTAACGAGCGATCCGGTGACGTTCCCTGCTGGCCGCGCGCATGCGCAGTGCGCGCGTAGCGGCGAGGCGCGGCCGGTTCCCGCGCCTCCTCCTCCTCCCGCTCCATCTCCTCCTCGCTCTCTCCTCCTCCTCCTCGCTCTCTCCTCCTCCCCCTCGCTCTCTCCTCCTCACCGCCACCGTCGCTGCCGCTCTTCGTTCACCTCGCAGTCACCATTCCTCCCCGTGAGCTGGCGTCGGAGTGAGTGAGGATCGGGATAAGGAGGAGCGACACCCCCTCGCCCGCCCGCCCGCACCAACTTGGGGAGAAGTGGGAGCCTCGTTTCGGGCTCCGTGACGGCTCCGCTCTCCTGTGACTCCAGCCACGAGGCCGCGCCGCAGGCTCCGTCGCTGCTCCTCCTCCTCTTCCTCCACCGCCTCCTCAGCCGCCTCGCCCTCCTCTTCCTCCTCCTCTTCCTCGCCGGTCCCGTTACACCCCCCCCGCCCCCACCACGCTCTCCTCCCTCATCATTCAATCCCTCATCGTTTAATCCCTCATCGTTTAATCCCTCATCGTTTAATCCCTCATCGTTTAATCCCTCATCGTTTAATCCCTCATCGTTTAATCCCTCATCGTTTAATCCCTCATTCCTATCACCCCGGGGCGGAGCTTGGTGATTTTCGCTGTCGGATCAGCGGCCGCGATTCCCGGGGCTTCTGTGACTTTTACAAAGTGGTGGTGGTGTGGTGGTGGTGGAGGTGGTGGTGGAGGAGCGGGGCTGCCTGCCTCCTTGACGGCGCCACCCGCTCCGACACCGCTGCCGATGGCTCCGTGAGAGCGCCTCCTGGGCACGAGGCGACGACGCAGCTGGGCTGGCTCAGGTGACAGCCCCCCCCGGCCCCCCTGCTGCTACTCCCCATCCTGGCACGGTACCCCCCACCACCACCACCACAATGATATCTCCTGCTGCTGCTGCTGCTGCTGCCGTGAGCGTTTCCTTCCCTCCTGCGCTTCTCCGTAAGGCGGCACGGGTAGCGCACGCCGTGTGTCTGTGTGTGTAGCGGTGTGTCTGTGTGTAGCGGTGTGTCTGTGTGTGTAGCGGTGTGTCTGTGTGTGTAGCGGTGTGTCTGTGTGTAGCCGTGTGTCTGTGTGTAGCGGTGTGTCTGCGTGTAGCCGTGTGTCTGTGTGTAGCGGTGTGTCTGTGTGCCACGTCCACGCCGTGTCTCTGTGTGTAGTGGTGTGTCTGTGTGTAGCGGTGTGTCTGTGTGTAGCGGTGTGTCTGTGTGTAGCGGTGTCTCTGTGTGTAGCGGTGTGTCTGTGTGTAGCGGTGTGTCTGTGTGCCACGTCCACGCCGTGTCTCTGTGTGTAGCGGTGTGTCTGTGTGTAGCGGTGTGTCTGTGTGTAGCGGTGTGTCTGTGTGTAGCGGTGTGTCTGTGTGTAGCGGTGTGTCTGTGTGTAGCGGTGTGTCTGTGTGTAGCGTTGTGTCTGTGTGTAGCGGTGTGTCTGTGTGTAGCGGTGTGTCTGTGTGTAGCGGTGTGTCTGTGTGCCATGCCGTGTCTCTGTGTGTAGCGGTGTGTCTGTGTTTAGCGGTGTCTCTGTGTACCGGTGTGTCTGTGTGCCACGTCCACGCCCAGTCTCTGTGTGTAGCGGTGTCTCTGTGTGTAGCGGTGTGTCTGTGTGCTATGTCCACGCGGTGTCTCTGTGTGCAGCGGTGTGTCTGTGTGTAGCGGTGTGTCTGTGTGCCAGGTCCACGCCGTGTCTGTGTGTGTAGCGGTGTGTCTGTGTGCCACGTCCACGCCGTGTCTCTGTGTGTAGCGGTGTGTCTGTGTGCCACGTCCACGTGGTGTCTCTGTGTGTAGCGGTGTCTCTGTGTGTAGCGGTGTGTCTGTGTGCCACGTCCACGCCGTGTCTCTGTGTGTAGCGGTGTGTCTGTATGCCATGTCCACGCGGTGTCTCTGTGTGTAGCGGTGTGTCTGTGTGTAGCGGTGTGTCTGTGTGTAGCGGTGTGTCTGTGTGACACGTCCACGCCGTGTCTCTGTGTGTAGCGGTGTGTCTGTGTAGCCGTGTGTTTGTATGCCATGTCCACGCCGTGTCTCTGTGTGTAGCGGTGTGTCTGTGTGCCACGTCCACGCCGTGTCTTAGTGTGTAGCGGTGTGTCTGTGTAGCCGTGTGTTTGTATGCCATGTCCACGCCGTGTCTCTGTGTGTAGCGGTGTGTCTCTATGTGTAGCGGTGTGTAGCGGTGTGTCTGTGTGCCACGTCTACGCCGTGTCTGCGTGTGTCAGTGTGCTGTGTCTGGGTGTACTCTGCAGGCTATGTCCAGGCTGTTCTGTATGCAGTTCATATCTGGATATGTGCTGTCTCGGGGTTCTTGTCTGGCTATGTTGTGTACCGCGGTTGTGTCCACGATATGCGCAGATTATGAAATACTGTAATGCATCTGTTGAGAGCAATGCTGTGTCGCGTGTGAAGCGATGCTGCCTGCGTTCCCGGCTTGTGCTCGAGCCGTGATCTATCCTGGCTGTCGTTTTGCTTGTTGCGTCTGTGCTGTTGCCTGGCTGTGCCGTGTCATCATAGCAGCACTGAGACGGGGCACAGCTGACAGCTCGTGTCCGTGGCATTAGGTGGGATTGAGTGGCGCCTTGCCTGGCTCAATGCGTGCTGGGCATGCGGTTGATTTCCAGCAGTAGTGAGCACTCAATCTGTTCATTAATTATGACGGCACTCCTCTCATTTTCCGTGTGTATGTGTACCACACACGGAAAATGTATCAATGGCGCAAACGGTGAACGTTGTGTGAAACTAGACGGGTGTCCATCATGTACGCCAGACACGAGTCTGTGGAGCAATACCGTAGCAGAGTTTAATTGAACCACGTTACAGTTTGTAGAAGCAGGTGAGGGGTATGGAACCATCTGACAGTTTATGCAACCAGCTGACAGTTTATGGAACCAGCTGACAGTTTATGGAACCAGGTGAACGTTTATGGAACTAACTGACAGTTTATTGAACCAGCTGACAGTTTATGAAACCAGCTGACAGTTTATGGAACCAGCTGAGAGTTTATGGAACCAGGTGAGAGTGTATGGAACCAGGTGACAGTTTATGGAACCAGCTGAACGTGTATGGAACCAGGTGAGATTGTATGGAACCGGCTGAACGTTTATGGAACCAGCTGACAGTTTATGGAACCAGGTGAGAGTATATGGAACCAGGTGAGAGTGTTTGGAACCAGCTGAACGTTTATGGAACCAGGTGAGAGTGTATGGAACCAGGTGAGAGTGTTTGGAACCAGCTTAGCGTTTATGGAACCAGCTGAACGTTTATGGAACCAAGTGAGAGTGTATGGAACAAGGCGAAGGGACCATCGATGTCCGTGGTTGACGAAGCCTCGTGCCGATCACGATTTTAATAGCAGCACTGAAGCCCGCCGCTGCCGCCGCCGCCTCTGAGAGGCTGACTAGGGACGCGGCAGGATGACAGCGCGGTGCTTTAGTTAATATTAACGACAGTAATGATAATGAGCACTGACATAATCCCACGAGTTATGGGGACGCTGACAATCTGTGGGGGGGGGGAGCTGAGCGCCGATGTGAGTTAATGACTCCTCGCTGACGGGCGCCTCTGTTTATTGTTTTCGTGTTTGCGTCATCATGACCGTGTTTACACGTGTGTGTGTGTGAGAGTCGTGTTACCGTGTGATCTGTGTGTATGCACAATAGTGAGCGGTGGTGTCGTGGTTTACGCACCGCGCTACGAAAACCCGGCGAAGCGGAATCGGTTCTCGCCCGCAGCCAACGTCGATGACGAATATCTGAACCGGTCCTGGGCATCCCACAGGTCTACTCAGCCCTAACTGAGTACCTGGTGCGCTGTGTAAACATCATCACTGGGGAGACTAAGGCAGCCGGGTGTGTTGGCCTTCATAGGTGCTGACCAACAGCACTTGCCCAAAGAGACTGTTTAGGCTATGGGGGTGGGGGGGAATATCTGTCTTTGTGAGTCGTGTCATTGTGTCCTGTGTGTGTTTTTACTTAATAGGGAGTGGTGGTGCAATAGTTAGTGCACTCTGCCGCAGTCCTCACGATCCGGTTTGGATGCCCTGGCCACAGGTCACATCAGCTGCGAGTGGTTATCTGAACTTGTTCTGTGCCTCCTATAGGTCGGCTCGGCCTTAAACAGGCACCTGGTACGAGTGTGTAAACATCATCACTGGGGAGATGAAGGTGGCTAGGCACAGTAGTGGCCGCGCAACCTCAACATTTGCTATCCAGGAGACGCTCACTGAGTCTCAGGACTCGTTTTAAGGATGGCCCTGCCAAGTTTTTTTACGCGGTAGGAGGCGGTGTTGCTGACGTTTAATCCCAATCGAGTAATCTGCAGGTCGTTTTTTAGCATTGAGATGCTCGGCCGACATCAGTTTACATTGTTTGTTTTGAAGCTACATCTTGGGACCTGCGTTGCCAGTACCAAAATATGGGAATAGGTTTTCCCCTTTTTTTCTGACGTCCTCTGGTCTAACACCGTTTGAGACTAGAAAGCTGTCTCTGGTGTGGACCAATCAGTTTCAAAGGCTTTTTGTTTGCATTATGACCACAAGTATTGTGGTTAATGCAGACATGATTCCTTGTAAAAGGTTTCAGTTCAGTGTTTTAACATCTTAACACAGCTGTTTTGTTGCCAGCAAAAAGGGGAAAACCTCTTGTCATGTTTTGAAGCTATTTGCGGAACCAAAGAAGCTGGAGGAAACCCTTTGCAGAAAAGGGGAAGAGCATACAAGCTCCACACAGAGAGGCGTGCCGTGCCGCGAATCGAACCCAGGATCTTCTTGCTGTGTGTGTGCGTATGTGTGAGAGAGAGTTATGTGGTGAGTGGTGGTGCAGTGGTTGGCGCACTGCGCTACAATTCCTGTTCACGGCCAGCACAAGTGACGATGATCTGCACCGGTCCTGGGCCTCCCCTAGGTCGACTCAGCCTCAAATGAGTACCTGGTGCGATGTGTAAATATCGCCACTAGGGAGACAAAGGCGGCTGGGCGTGGTGCTGGACACCCCCCCACCCCCTTGTGTGCCTTGACGGCCTTCATAGGTGCTCGCTAACAGCACTTGCCCCAACAGTCTGTTAAGGCTATACGGGGAATCTTTGTCTTTGTGTATATGAGCTTGTGTGTGTGTAAGATACAGTGTGTTTGTGTATGAGAGAGTCTGATTGTGTTAGTGTGCAGGAGGGGCTGTGTGTGAGTGACTTTGTGTGTGTGGGTGACAAAGAGTGTGTGTTTGAACGGTAGTGCTGTGGTTAGTGCACTGTGCTATGAATCTGGAAAGCAGAGTTCAATCCCCGCGCACGGCCAACACCAGTGACGATTATCCTGAGCTTCACTTCGGTAGACTCAGCCTTAAATGAGTTCCTGGTGCGATGTTTAAACATCATCGCCACGAGGGAGACAAAGGCGGCCGGATATCTTGCTGGCCACCAACCCCCTCGTGTGCCTTGCCGGCCTTCATAGGTGCTCGCTAAAAGCACTTGCCCCAAAAGTCTTAAGGCTATTTGGGGGATCTTTGTTTCCATGTGTTCGGGTAGTTTGAGAGTGAATGTGCTTGTGTGAGCGTTTGATTGTGAGTGTGTGTGGTGTGAGAGTGAGCTTGTATGTTTGTCGTTGTGAGAGTGTGATTGTGCGGGTGATTTTGTACGAGTGCATGCGTGACTGCAAGTCATCGCAGTCGGTCAACCCATAACACCTGGGTCTCATCCGTGACCTCTGGCCAGCGAGCTTTCAACACTTCTCGTGGCCTCAAAGTGTACCTAGCCTGTCACAAGCGCTGCAGTGTCATCACCTTGACTTAGTGGGGAATCACATGGCTGTTGTTATTGCTGTTGTGCGTCTGTGCGAGCGAGTGTGACTGTGCGAGTGTGTTGCTCTTGTGCTTGTT